ACCTCCAGCAAGCCAAGCCACCAAACCTTCCAGAGTTAAAGGCCACCATCGCCCTCCTCCCTACACTGGACACTATAAAAAAATGCAGTGCATTCTCTCTCACACAAATCCAAGTGTACCACATAATGAACTACCAAGATCATATTGCATATACTCAGCTGGGACAGCACCAACTTCATTGCATCATCAGTGCCTACCACCAATACAGAATCCAGGAAGAAATCAAGATCCAACAACACAATAACATCCCTAAGGACATATTGGATTCAACATCGACAGCATCTTCATATAGTCAGCGATCCTCAAGCCCAAGCAAACACACACACACCCAAGTGTGTATTTGCCTGCAACTGGCTACCCCCTATTGTTCCTCATTTGTTTGTACTTAAACTTTTTAGAAGACCACCCACATGTTTTGTACACAGTTGTCAATCGAGGACCTTATTATCCTCTATTGTTCAGGGTCCCTAATTGAATGCAGAAACAAACTCACGTACACCAGCGCACACACATGCATACTCTAACAGACTTGTATCCCTCGAACCCAGCATCCCTCAAGCCCAGCAACCCTAAAGTCCAGCATTCCCAAAGTCAAGCATCTTTCAGCCAATTGTAATTCTCCACCTAGGTACTAGGAAGCATTTAAGTGGCAATAACTCCTCCAAAACACAGAGAACGCTGTCTTAAACGTTGAGAACACTTTCACAACCAATTCTTTTAAGAACCACACTTCTTCGAAGAAGGGAAGATTCCGTGGTTGTGCTTCGCTATAGTTTACAGTACATACACTTTGACCTCTTCAACTTAAAACCCAGGACCCAATTTCACAGTGCTACCCAGAAAACAACAGGTTGCTAACCATTAGCATTTTTTCACATGGGTGGTTTTTTTTTCATTTGATAAGTGATCATACACAAACAATTAGATTAATGCAACAAAAATAAAAGGAACTCTATAAATCCAGGGCGGCACAAAAAGGCTAGAAATACATATAGCTTATTTCCATCGTGGTCCCCTGACCCATTGTGGTCCTCTGGATGCTTGGCATGGTTGTTTTCATGGCTGCGCATGTGTAGAGAGTATGCCAAGCAAATTTCTCTTTAAGGTATGCATGCTTTTTGCGATTTTTCCTCACGAAAGCCTCTTTAGAGTAAAATCATGTGGTTAACAGGGCTGTCAAATTGAGCCCTGCACTGAAGATCTGCAAATAAGCAAAGTTTTAATTTCTTAAGATGAAAAACAAATCTCCCACATAAAGTGAAATTTAACTCATGACTTCATAGAGTTCATCATACACATCATGGACACTTGCGGTAAAGTCAGACAGACTGGGCGAGGTTGGAAAACTGGTGCACGTCAAGGTCACACAATCATCACTCACAGTGTAGACCACCCCAAGTCCACTTGGGGGGTAGGGGTAAAACGCTGCTCCTGTTGAACTGAGCGTGACCCCTGTGGTGCTTGTGGACAGGGTGATGGTGTTGATGTTAGCCTAGGCAGGATCTTGGAACACTGCTGGAATGGGTCTGCCTGTTGCTGAGGCAAGGGTACGTAAGGCCAAGAGGTGATAGTCCCATCCTTGACCTGAACAGCAAATAACGTTATAAAGGATTTTAGAGGCCAAATTCATTTTGTGTTTCCTTTTTTACTGTCAGGAAATGGAAAAATATATATTTTTTGTGGGTTAGTATCTCACTTTTCTTATTCTGCTCCCCTTGTTCCAAGGATATTTTCCAACCACATGTAACCCGAATGAAACCATCTGTGGTATTCAATGATGGAGGTCATAATGTTTACCCCATTTGCTAACCCAATCCATTGTTCTAGGGGAACTTTCCCACAGTCCTCGCTGAGAATTTTTAGAGACAGAATGTCAGTTTCAATTGTTTGGGAGATTAATCAATTTGAAGGTTGCAGGTTTTTGAGACCTGGGAGAAAATCTGATTCTGCTAATTAGCAGAGTTACACTCTGAACCTTCAAAGATTTGACCAATGGGGAAGTTTGTATGCAAATCAATCTTTGGAGAAGGTATGGTCAAACTTGTGAATGACTAATCATATTCTTGATTGAAATGTCCATCAAGAGACTCCAAAGGGCATAAGGGCCTATGGGTCAAATTCAGTCTGCACTGAACCACCCAGCAGACCACTGGTCAACAGTCCCACACTCAAATCGACACAGCTAGCCATATGGGGTGAGTTGCTGTCCTTAGAATATTTTCTGAACTACAGGTTTCTTCGACACTGTACTAAAATCAGCTTGACAACTTATACCACCAGCATCACTAGGTTTCCCTACACACTTCAATTTGCCATTATTGTTTACGTGTTCAGTCTGAGCTAAGTTACTTGGTGTTGAACTTGGCAAAGAAAATTCAACTGTTGACGTTACTGGCAAATCAATTTTTGAAGTTCTAGGGCTCATATTAGGTTCTACTTTCACAGACTTATATACATGACTTTGGGTTTGTCCTGAGCCAACCATGGGGAGGGACCTACATACATGACTGGGACTAAAACCCACGGGCTCAGGCAAAGACTCCGCACCAGCCAAACCCAGCTCTAAATATTTCTGGTCAATTTCTTCTTCAATCATTTTAATTGACTGATGCAACTGCCTGCTTACATCTCCACTTTTTGTACTCATATTGATTACCATACCCCCATCTTGGAGGATAAATAAACGACTAATTCTAGTTATTATTAATTGTGTTTTTTTTTTAGATTTCGATCCCATCGCTGCCACCAAAAACTGT